GAATACAAATCTGGTGGAAGAAAATGATTTTATAATAAAAGGGCACATTTTAAGTGTGCAGGCTATCTTTTTTTTTTTTTGTAAGTTTTTTTATTTAAATAATCTCTACACCCAACGTGGGGCTCAAACTCACGTCCCCACTCCACCAACTGAGCCAGCCAGCTGCCCATGAGGATATCTTTGAGGGTCTTCCTAGAATTAAATAGGGCCAGAGATTTATTGGAGTGAAAGCCAAAGGTAGATATATAGAAGGCAGGTGAGAATTGTGGAGAAGAATAACCTCCCCTTTTCTTTGAATGTGTGCCTTCTTCACAAAATTAGAGTATAAAAGTTGTTGAGAGAAATGACTGTCTTCTATACAACAGAATATATGGTAGAAGGAACTTCAGGTTTTTTTTCTCTTCACAAAATTAGAGTATAAAAGTTGTTTAGAGAAATGACTGTCTTCTATACAACAGAATATATGGTAGAAGGAACTTCAGGTTTTTTTTCTCTTGAGACAGAGTGGGGATAAACAGATAACAGCATGCAAACAAGATATTTAGAATCTGTATGAAAACAATCTGAATTGACAGATCTTATTTGGATAAAGATAGCAATAATCAGGAATAAAATTGGCAAATATGGAATTGGATGTTGGGATTGTTCATTTATGCAGTTGAAAATAAAGGTTGTGAAATCTACAGTAAGGGAAACTGCTTCGTATGTGGTGAAAATAAATGCAGAACCTCACAGAAGCAGACATTTTGGCAAAGGTAGATAAATTAGGCTTAGAATAAAAGAGACTCAGAATGTGGTGAAAGTGGTCTTGGAGCTTCAGCTTCCTTTCTTTGGGGATCCCAGATCATACTGAGGAAGGGCAGAGGATTTTTTTTTTTTTAAGGAGGTGCAAAGGGAAGCAAAATGATCAGATTTGTGAAGCGTGTAAAAACTCCTTGTGTCTTAGCTGAGGCATCCAGATTTTGAGGATTGAGTATATACCTCAACAAGCAATATTTTAATAGAATGTGGACAAAATGAGAAAGGACACAGATAATGATACAGGAAGTATCCGCTATTCCTTTGTTCGAAAGGAAAAAGGAGGAATAATAAGGAGTAGGAATGGAGCCTAGTAACATCATTCAGTTCCCAAGTATGAAGTACTTGTAGGAATGGTTTAAAGGCAGAAGGGCTAGCAAATGAACTGAGGGTTTTGTCACTTGGGCTTTTGTTGTTTTTAGTGGAAGAAAATAACGGATTGGGTACAATCACTGCTTTTGACAGAATAAGTCATGATTGCCTTTCACAGATAATTATCTGTATAAACCTTAGAGAAGATTCAGGAATTTTTTTCATGACTAAAAATGAAGCAAAGTGGCATATAGTACCTAGTCTCACTGCATTGGTATTTTGACATCTTTTTTGCCAGTACCCAAGGTATAATCAGTTTCCCAAGATAAACCATATGCTTTAACTTGCCAGTAGCTATTAAAACGTTAAAAATACGTCGTCTTCAAACCAGCAATTCCACTTTTATGAATACCTCCCACAGATCTAGTTACACAGGTAAGTATATATACAAGGAGGTCTGTTGCAACATTGCTTGTAATGGCAAAAGTTGAGAGTCAGCCCAAGTGTCCAGAGGGGAACAGTTGAATAATGAATGGTGCCAGCATGACAGAATCCCCTAAAAAGAATGAAGTAGATCTGTGTGTATAGAATACTGTCCATTTTATGTGCTCAAGTGAATTTTTTAAAAATTATTTATTTGACAGACATCACAAGTAGTCAGAGAGGCAGGCAAAGAGAGAGAGAGAGAGAGGAGGAGGAGGAGGAGGAGGAGGAGGAGGAAGCAGCCTCCCCACTGAGCAGGGAGCCCGACCTGGGGCTCGATCCCAGGACCCTGGGATCATGACCTGAGCCAAAGGCAGAGCCTTTAACCCACTGAGCCACCCAGGCGCCCTCAAGTGAAATTTTTTTTTTTAAGATTTTATTTAATTATTTGTCAGAGAGAGAGGGAGAGAGAGCAAGCACAGGCAGACAGAATGGCAGGCAGAGGCAGAGGGAGAAGCAGGCTCCCTGATGAGCAAGGAGCCCGATGTGGGACTCGATCCCAGGACGCTGGGATCATGACCTGAGCCGAAGGCAGCTGCTTAACCAACTGAGCCACCCAGGCGTCGCCTCAAGTGAATTTTTAACAGGCACAATAATATGTAGAGTATTCTACTTTTTAAAATCCCATTATACATACAAGCAAACGGTACATTATGCATACGTATAAAGAGGCCTGGAGGGGTGCCTGGGTGGCTCAGTATGTTGAGCACCTGCCTTCAGCTCAGGTCATGGTCCCAGAGTCCTGGGATCGAGTCCCACGTCAGGGTCCTTGCTCAGTGGGGAACCTGCTTCTCCTTCTCCTCCCCGGCCCCCTGCCCCCCGCTCTCTCTCTCTCTCTCTCTCTCTCTCTCTCTCTCTCTCTCTCGCTTTCTCACTCAAAGAAATAAATAAATTCTTGAAAGAAAGAAAGTGAGGAAGGAAGGAAGGGAGGGCCTGGACATATATATATATTAAACCGTTAACAATAATTACTTCCTATATGTAGAAATGGTGTTTTAGTTTTCAATTTATATCTTCTATTTTTATAACAAGCACATATTTCATTTTTTTTAAACCTGCAATTTGTCTGACGGAGAAAAAGGCCAAGCCCTTGTGAGTCAACCCTTCCCCCCCAACCCTGGTTCAATTCCTCTTCTCTCTTCTTAGCCATTACAGTTTAATACAAAGAAGCACCGTGGGCACAATTGGTTTTTATTATTGGGAGAAGTTTCCCAAATGAAATTCCTGGTTTCTCATCAGCTTGGCCCAAAACTAAAACTCTGCTCAACATGACCCCATGGTTTTAAAATACCAAGTGGTGGCAGCTTCTTGGTAAAATCAGGGTTGTTTGTTCCTGCAGTAACTGAACATAAATCGAACATATATTAAGTGCCAACTGTGTACCAGGCAGCGGGGAATGCAAACATGCTAGTCCCTCAACTCTCCTATTTGATGGTTCCCTCCATCTCAGTCAATTTCTTGACAGTCCTGGCCCCACCCCATGGTCACTTTCAGTACTTCCCAGTGCTCGTCTGCCTTTGAAAGGCAACCCCCCCTTAAATTTACTACACTGTAGGCTCCTGCCTATGAATTTTCAAAGAGCTACTTTTTACCTTCTGCATGAGACTATTCCCCTACAATGGACATCGCTTTTTACCTTCACTTCTCTAAATAAGAGAGGCTGGAGATCATTTAGCAATGGAAAAATGGAAACTATCAAGGGCGGGGTATAGAATGTTTGTGTTTATAGAAGAAAAGAGGCATTTGTGAAAGATTTGATATTTGTGAACAAAAACATATGTCAGTCACTGTTGGAGAAAGAAAAATATGATACATAATCCTGTTCTAAAGTATATGTATAATGTATAAATATTTTTGGAATAAAAATATTTATATCTCTCTCCAGAGAGAAAGTGGCTGGATCACATTATCTCTTTGAAGTTCCAGTTCTGTAGATTCAAGCATTTTCTTTAAAAAGCAATTTAAAAATTATGATGAGAAGATGTTTAGGCTGAGATTTATATTTTACATATGGGGAGGATCAATATTTCTCAAACTGCATTCTTCAGTATGTCATGCCTTTTGCTTCTTAAATCTGTGAAACACAACTTTAAATAAAAGTTTTATTTGGGGTCATTAAAATGTGAAGGGGATGGAGTACTCATTGCTGTTAGTTCTTGTTATGTTACGTTATTACATTACAATATATATTAGAAAGTAACTTGTATGAGGGCCTTCCTGACTTTTAATAATAATTTACTACCATTTGGAACTATAGAGTAAATCCTGCTAGAATCTTCATTTTTGAGCCTCAGTATTAAATTACGTATTGTCTCCCTCTTGTGCATTTTACCAGCATATTATCATCTTAAATTGTTTCATTCTTCCAAGAAGAGAGCAAAGGAACAACTGTCTGTTTGTCATAGGTTGGGATCATCATGGGAGTGAGCGGAAGAGCTAACCAATAGGGCCTCTTCTCGCAAGGGCCCCGAATTGTGGGTGACAACCTATTAATTCTCCACTGAACTTTAGGCATTTGGGAACAATTATGTCCCATGTTAGCACTACCTGAGCTCTTTTTTCCAAAGTTAATCAAAGTCCAAACTTGATACCTGAAGGATAATTGACCAAGCAGCAGCAATCTTCCGCATATAAGGATATCTAAGACAATCCCTAATTCTCAAAGAGATGGAACAATCTAGTTAGTAGAAAGGAACTCCTTTCTTGCAATTAACACAGGCTCTCTATACCTTTCTTTCTCAGAAAGAACAAAATCTGGGGGCGTCTGGGTGGCTCAGTCCATTAATTGTCCTACTCTTGGTTTCGGCTCAGGTCTTGATCTCAGGGCTATGAGATGGAGCCCCATGTGGGCTCTGTGCTGGGCGAGGAGCCTGCTTAATATTCTCCCTCTCCCTCTCCCTCTGCCCCTCCACCCCGCCCCCCTCCCCATGCTCCCTCGCTCTCTCATATAAAAAATAAATCCTTAAAAAGCAAAAAACCCCACAAAAGCTAAAAAGAACAGGATATGTTCAGAATGTACAATAGAAGAACTATAAATATATTATTACAGAAAGCATGTTATCTACCACCCTAATCCTGCACACAGGAAAATGAAAGCGTATGTGGTAATTTCTTTTCAAAATAAGATAAAGCCAGTAGTTGCATAAGGAAGTGAGTGTATATACTCTTCCCATATGTGCTCTTAATCTAAATTAGTCTTAATTTTACCTTTTCCTACTTTGCATTAAATCGACGTCATGCCACATCAAGTAAGTTGTTTGGTTTTCTTCTGAGTAATTAATTATTCTATTGGTTTTATCTTCTATCAAGTATGTATCACATCAAATGTATACACAGAATTTTAGTGGACAGAAATTGGCATACCCATTCCACTCTGATTTGTGGCTCACCTCATGCTCTTGGTGTAGGGCTTTGACCAGCTTCGACTTGAAGGATTGCTTTGCGATGTGACCCTGATGCCTGGTGACACAGATGACGCCTTCCCTGTGCATAGAGTCATGATGGCCTCTGCTAGTGATTACTTCAAGGCAATGTTCACAGGTAGGGTGGCTTGTTAAATTCTGCACCCCCATTAAAACAATCTGAAAAAGGCAGATTTCCATATTTTTGTCTCTAAAGTGAAATTCAATTCTTTAGATCTTGTCTTTCCAAGAAGAAATCGTTTCCAAAGGAATATACACCCAGTACATGTAGTTGTAGGTGGTGGTTTTTAAAACTTGGGAACCAGATGTGCGTTTTTCATACTTTCGTCCACTTTTGTTTCACAACTTCTTTTTTCCAGCTGCACATCTGGATGCTCTACCAGAGGCTCTGGGTCTGACTAAGACAATCTTGAACCCATCAAAAGATAGGAAGTGACAGGAGAACGTTTTGGAAGCTCTCACATTATATACGACTTCCATTAGTATAGAGCTATTCCTTCTTAAGTACTTTCTTTTAACTGTAAAATATGTAGAAGTCTGACTCTGACATGAATGCTTACATAGAATAAAACTCTTCCTTGATTTTATTGCATCTAATTAGCAGCAGAAGTGAGTTTGACCTTAATTAAATTACCTACCCTCCTTTCATTGAATGTCTTTTTATTTAAGGTGGAATGAAAGAACAAGATTTAATGTGCATTAAGCTTCACGGTGTGAGCAAAGTCGGCTTAAGGAAAATTATTGATTTCATTTATACTGCAAAGCTTTCTCTTAACATGGACAACCTTCAAGACACCCTGGAAGCTGCCAGTTTTCTTCAGATTCTGCCGGTTTTGGACTTCTGCAAAGTATTTCTCATATCTGGGGTAAGCCGTCTTCAAATCTTCAAATCTTTTCCTGCGATACAGTCTGGGGTAGCCTTGGAAAGCCTGATGAATTGGTGAATTGAAACTTTGGCCCTTAGAGAGAAAGAGGACTCAGGGAGTGTGTGTTCTGGAATGAAGTTGAGAGTGAACCAGTACAGGTGTCTTTTTTACAAAACAGAATCATTTCCTAAAAGCCTTCCGTGTAATCCCATGACATCAGACAGTAATAGTGTTTGATAACAATATACACGTTAACCCGTTTACTGACGTTATATGTTTTAATCTGGTTTTGTTTGCCTTCATGGTTTTAGGCCGGCAAGCTTTCTTAGGTGGGATTCCATGAAAGCATAATCTGAACTTCTCGAAGTCTTTTAAACTAGGCTCAGTAATTTTTTTTTTCTTCCTTCAACATGGGAGCTAGGTCTTGAGAAGAAGTAACACCTGTGTGACAGCCTGTAAGAAACAAATGTTAATTCCATAGAAACACATCACCCACTGAATCATTTTTGCCTCTTTCAAGAGATAGGAGGGGACACAACTACCAATCAGCGAACTCCATAGCAGTCACGTGGTTCCTGAAGGCACCGCCCTATTGGAGACCCTTAAATTATTGACTTCTGGGAAATGAAATGCTTTGGCTGCAAAGAAATATTGCCAAGAAGATTTCTAGAGCTTATAGAGCTGCCTTTTGTGACTGGAAATGATGGCAGTGGTCAATTTTGATATATTTTCTAATTTGTTAAATTAGTGGATAATACATTTTTCTATAATTGATTTAAATTCATACCAGTTTTTATATTGGTAAATAATTGCTGTTGAGCTTTTTGAACCCTAAGTTTCAAGAGAACATGTCCTTAGTGATTTTATTAATAAGCTACTCCTTATCTTACAGAGTCAGCCCACAGCTAATTTAGCTGGGCTATTGAAAATGTGTTTCGTTCCTGTGTTTCCATTTTAAAGGACTCAGACTACTGTCTCACTATTATTTATAAACTTTTAAATTGACTACTATTTTTCACACTTTTAAGGCAGTCTGGTGTTACAACATTGCTCTGTGTTGCCCTATTCACTACTGTATAAGTAACCACATGAAGTTTGCTTATTTCCCGTGATACTGTTTATCATCCTTACTGAATCTGAACACTGAATTTCCTTTTAACTTAAGCACACAAGATCCTTCCCCTTAGGACCTATAAGCATCTCTCTTCTAGTTTTGTGCCACTGATATCGTCTGACAGCTTCATCTCAAGAAAAAAAAAACGAACTGAATTACATGTATTTTTTTAAATGTATCAAGGCCAATAATGAACTTAGTAATAACCTGAAGGCTTACATTTATAGATTCTTTTTTTTTTTAAGATCTTATTTATTTGATAGAGAGAGAGAGAGAAATCACAAGTAGGCAGAGAGGCAGGCAGAGAGAGAGGGGGAAGCAGGCTCCCTGCTGAGCAGAGAGCCTGATGCGGGGCTCGATCCCAGGACCCTGAGATCATGACCTGAGCTGAAGGCAGAGGCTTAACCCACTGAGCCACCCAGGTGCCCCTACATTTATAGATTCTTAAGAGTCCTTCACACTGATCTCAACAACATGTGGTCGTCCCAAGCCAAACTTGGTACAGTGTGGTAATTTCTTTGAAACTAATCATTAATAATAGACATGTATTGTCGACTTCTCTAATATCAGAGTTTAGTACTTATGACTTTAGATACTGGTTGTGATCTGTTCCTTTACCTGAAAGAAAAGGACCAAATGGAATAAAGCATGATTTTTTTTATAGTTATTTATTTATTTATTTGACAGAGAGATAAAGAGCACAAGTAGGCAGAGAGATAGGGAGAAGCAGGCTCTCTGCTGAGGAGGGAGCCCGATGTGGGACTTGATCCCAGGACACTGGGTTCATGACCTGAGCCAAAGGCAGCAGCTTAACTGACTGAGCCACCCAGGCGCCCCTAAATCATGATTTATGAAAGTCATAAAAGCATACAAATGTCAAAGTAACAGCATTAGAAAACAATTTTGTTCTAGAAAACTCTAAAGTTATTTAAAGAAGATATCCTAGTAATTTTGCAATAGTGACAAATTTTCTATAATCAGAATGTCAGTTCTTTTACCTGTTTGAAGCACTTATTATAACTGTGTTTTACCTGGTTGGAAAATTCTTCATTTTTGTGAACACTTAATATTGTCTTAAAGATTATGTTCTTCATTTCTAGTGTCCTCTGCAGACATCCTAAAACCCACTTCTAATGGAGAAGAGGCTTATCTCTGACAAAGCTTTACCTGTGGTATAGTTCACTCCTCCCTCTCTCGGTTTTAGAACTTTCTACAAGCTCCGAGGAAACACCTCTTTTCTTAGCACCATTCTACTTAACCTTTCACCCTGCTTGCAGAGGATATGTCTGTGTGATTTTACTGTGGAAATAATTCCATCTCAGAATCTACGATAATTTTTTAGAACAGTTGGTAGATTATTAGCATAAGGATTATATAAAATCCAACTTTTCCTTCATCCCTCTTGCATGCGTTCCATTTCTTAGTTAAATGTTCAGCCTTACCCTGTTTATTTCCTGTTTCCTTCTCAGCAATCAAGTGGATCAGGCAGAAGAGTCGCCCTTGGGTGTTTTTTCTACTTATAAGAACTGGAAGTTTCGAGATAATGTATTTTTCAAAGGTAGATTTGTTTTGAGTTTTCCCACAAGCTAAGATTATGGATAGTTTTTAAATCGAATGATCTCATATTTTAAGGATTCTGTGCTTAAACCAAAGGTTTTGAGTGAGTCGGTTTGTTTTTAATGATGTGGTGTGATTATACTTCACATAAGCCAAACACTACTTGGGTTTGAGTTTTTAGAAAGAAAAATTAGCTTCCAATATAATTTTGGTCTATCCCACTCTTAATCATTTGTGTAGGTGAAAATGTGACTCGGCAAATAACTCACAAAGCATTTTCATGGTGGTTTTGAATGACAACTTTCAAGATTTATTTATGTGAGAGAGGGAGAGAGTGCAAATGGTGGAGGAAGAGCAGAGGGAGAGGGAGAGAATCTCCAGCAGACTCCCTGCTGAGCGCAGAGCCCCACTCAGGGCTCGATCCCAAGACCCTGAGATCATGACCTGAGCTGAAATCAAGAGTTGGATGCTTAACTCACAGAGCCACCCAGGCGCCCCTTGAACGATAACTTTAAATACGATAATAAAGCCACGCTCAGCTTCAGTGAGGTAGAAGCATCAGTGTTCTAGAACAGAACATCAGGCTCCATAGAACAGGAAGCCCTCCCCTCCCAACTTTGCCATCTTTTGCAGTAATGCTTTTCTTTTAAGGTGTTAATTAGTATTATAGCTTATGGAATCTGGCGCTTTTGTTCTTGCTATGTTTCTTTCTTGCCAGTTGTAGAAAAGAGGACTATGAAATGGATACAAAGGGATAACAGCAAAGGATGTAAGGCAGAGTAGGTAAAATTATCTGTTCAACAAAAAACATTTGCTCTCCTATCTCATGGAGATGATGGAAAATGACCTTCATTTAGTTACATGCCTAAAAATTGCATTTGTTTTTGTCTTTATGACATTGTATAACTACAGCATGCTAAATACTGTGTAGCCATTCCCTGCTTTACAAACAGGTTGTGGTTACATTTTTTGTTTATCGTTTGTCTGCTATTTGGAACGTGTAACATCTAGCATTTGCCCCCCAGAATTACTGTTACAGAGGATTACAGGCTAGTCCACATACCCCAATTTTTAACATGAGGTTGCTTAAGGAGGACATTTGTCATTGAACTGAAATATTATAATTTAAATATACAGTTATCCAGAATAAACAAACCAGAATGAAGGTGAGCAAGAAACCATTTTCTTTTTATATAAAAGCATATTTAATCAGAGAATGAAGATGCCATTGTGCTTTAGACTTTCTTTAAACTCATTCCTTTTTAAAGTTGTGTGGTGTTTTTTCCTTGATGTGTGTATAACACTGCTTCCCCTTGTACATTTATTATCACAGATTGGGGTGGGAAGTCACAATGAAATGTAGAGAAAATTTATTGAGGCAACTGAGGGTAATAAAGAATTAGTGACAGTGGAAAACAAAAGAGGTGAGGGGCGGCTGGGTGGCTCAGTCAGTTAAGAGTTCCACTCTTTTTTTTTTTTTTTAAAGATTTTATTTATTTATTTGTCAGAGAGAGAGCAAGCACAGGCAGACAGAGTGGCAGGCAGAGGCAGAGGGAGAAGCAGGCTCCCCACAGAACAAGGAGCCGGATGTAGGACTCGATCCCAGGACGCTGGGATCATGACCTGAGCCGAAGGCAGCTGCTTAACCAACTGAGCCACCCAGGCGTCCCGTAGAGTTCCACTCTTGGTTTCAGCTCAGGTCACCAGATCAAGCCCCCCATCTGGTTCCATGTTCAGCAGGGAGTTTGCTGGAGATTTTCTCTCTCCCTCTCCGTTTCCCTCTGCCCCTCCCCACCCATTCTCTCTCTCTCAAATAAAATAAATAAATCTTTAAAGTAAAAAGAGGGACGCCTGGGTGGCTCAGTTGGTTAAGCAGCTGCCTTCGGCTCAGGTCATGATCCTAGCGTCCTGGGATCGAGTCCCACATCGGGCTCCTTGCTCGGCAGGGAGCCTGCTTCTCCCTCTGCCTCTGCCTGCCTTCTGTCTGCCTGTGCTCGCTCTCTCTCCCTCTCTCACAAATAAATAATAAAATCTTAAAAAAAAAATAAAGTAAAAAGAAAAGAAAGGAGATGCATATGTAGGAGAGGCAAAAGGCAGAGAAAAAAGGAGTTCTCTCAAGGGAAAAATGAAGGCGATCAGATGACATTATTGGAAAAGACAGTTTCTTTTGCTATTCAGTGATGGTATTAACAGCAAGCTTTGGGAATGTTCTTCTTGATGTCAAAATTTCCTATATAGTAATTATATTTCATATTTCTTGTTTGATCTAAATTGGATTTTCCCATAAAAATTAACAAACATGTCTTTTCAGATCTTTTTTTTTTTTTTT